CTTTTTTATGGAACCCAAATTGGTTGTTCTATGGTGCCATGCCAAAGAACCCCTTTGCAGCACCATTATTTTTAAATATGTTATGCTGTGTTTCGCTGAGGGGTTCAAACATTTATAAGAGCTCTTAAACCAAATGTGTTGGTAAAAGTGCTTAAGCTACGCTCATAGCAAAAAGGTTTCTAACAGAAGCGTGAACAACAGATTTGCCATCATGGAGAAGAACCATTTTGTGAAGAACCAGTTAAACACTCTCATGGTTCTTTGAGTTCTCGTACAGTTCTATGCGTAATCGCTACTGAACAACCCCTTTTGAAGGATGCAGCACCAGCACTGTTCATACTGCTACACCGCTTAAAGCGTTTCCACCAACCTCATGGATGGTCCATGCCAAAGTTGTTTGGGGAACCTAAACTGGTTCAAAGACGCGCCTCTCTATGTTTAAGCGTGGCGCTTAACAGTGAGTCTTTTATAGTTACTGGCTCCAAATCGAAGTCGATTCGGATCAATTGGAACAAACTATACTGACACGTGTCTCATTACGCTCTTACCCTCAATTGCATTACTTCAGTGCAATAATCTTGGTAAGTGCACAGCATTACATAAAGCCATTACGGAGCTCCGTGGCATTTTGCAGAGGCGAGAGGTGAGCGCTGCTCGGCAGTTATCACAACAGCGTCTTGGTGTTATGAACTATTTAATAGATTTAGGTCGACTGGAGGAGACCGCCCGTGGAGAGAGGCAACACATTGGGCCCTCGAATAAGAGCGCATTACCGCGGTGGAAGCGATTTGTTCAGGAGAATGTCAGACTTATTTGCCTTTTCCGAGACGAGTGCGATTGTGTCATTATCATAATAAGTATGAAGAACACTCAGCGCAGCCGTCACGTCCAGTTTGACGACTGATTTGTGGCTTTTTTTCTACTTCTGGTCCTTAATATGTTGCGCGGAAACGAGCCTAAATGCAAGAACCTCCATTCACTTCACGTTATCTGCTCCCGCTGATTAAACGGTGCGTAAGTACTTTTACGCACGCGCGTGACACTTTGTACGCTTGGAAGTTTTTGCATCTGTGCAATTAAGATGCATTGATAGTATTTGGCGCCGCGTTTAATGCTAGTTAATAACAGCTGTAGTGCGGGGTGGGATTTGAAGTGGCGCTGTCCGTGGTGCTGATTTAAAAGGTTCTCCTGACCAGCACTGCTGTATGGGTGGCGCTCTCTACGGGTTCAGTGCTCTGGCCAGTGCTGGGTGGATGGTGCTATCCACAGTAATCTAACCAATGTAGCAATATGAACAGGGCTTCTATAGTGCTCCCTTAGCAGGAAGGGTTATTCAAGGGTCTTCATTAAAAGCAAAAGTCACATATTATTTAAAACCAAAAAAGGTTTGACATTATAACAACAGAAGAACTCTTTTTGGTGCTATATAGAGCCATATACGACACGTTCCCCTGCATTTCATAATGCAAAGAACCATTTAAGCATGAAATGGTTCTATATAGAACTCATGGCTCTACATAAACCATTGCCTTTACTAAAAAAACCCTTGAAGAAACATCTTTTTAAAGAATGTATGATGGAAGCCTGTTATTTGTGGTTCTTTAGATAACTTTTTTTCTGTAGCACCAAAACATGTTCTACTACTGTTACACGTCAGAGAACTTTTTGGGAACTATATAGCTTTTAGCTGAGGATGCAGTTTAAGCAACCTCACCAGCAAAGTAGTATGGTGTTGGTTTAAGACCTCTTACCAATACAGTGATAGATGGTGCTAAGTTGGTTTAAAAGCTCTAACCAGTACAGTATTATAAATGGTGCTCTCCATAGTGATGGTTTAAGAGCTCTCCCCGATACAGTATTATAGATGGTGCTCTCCATAGTGATGATTAAGAGCTCTCCCCAGTACAGTATTATAAATGGTGCTCTTCATAGTGATGGTTTGAGAGCTCTCCCCAATACAGTATTATAAATGGTGCTCTCCAATGTGTTGGTTTAAGAGCTCTCCACGATACAGTATTAAAAATGATGCTCTCCATAGTGTTTGTTTAAGAGCTCTTACCAATCCAGTATTATACATGGTACTCTCCAAAATGTTGGTTTATAAGCTCTCACCAATAAAGTATTATAAACGTTACTCTCCATACACTCTCTTCATAGTGTTAGTTTAAGAGCTCTTACAAACACAGTATTATAAGTGGTGCTCTCCATGGTGTTGGTTTAAGAGCTCTCATCAATAGAATATTATAAACATTACTCTCTGCGGTGTTTGTTTAATAGCTCTCACCAATACAGTATTATAGATGGTGCTCTTCATAGTGTTGGCTTAAGAGCTCTTACAAACACAGTATTATAAATGGTGCTCTCCATAGTGTTGGTTTAAGAGCTCTTATCAGTACAGTATTATATATGGTGCTTTCCATAGTGTTGATTTATAAGCGCTCATTAATACAGTATTATACATGGTGCTCCCCATGATGTTGGTTTAGGAGCTCTCATCAACACAGTATAATAAATGCTGCTCTCTATAGTGTTGGTTTAAGAGCTCTCACTAAAACAGTATTATATCTGGTGCTTTCCATAGGGTTGGTTAAGAGCTCTCACCAATACAGTATTATAAATGGTGCTCTCCAATGTGTTGGTTTAGGAGCTCTCACCAATACAGCATTATAAATGATGCTCTCCATAATTTTGGTTTAAGAGCTCTCACCAATACAGTATTATACATGGTGCTCTCCATAACTTTGGTTTAAGAGCTCTCACCAATACAGACAGCTCTCACCAATACAGACAATTAAAACTAAAGGTGCCAAAAAAAAGGATCTTTGAAGTGATCATATAAGAAGAACCACTATTACTCCCTTAAGAAGCTTACAAAGGATTTTTTAAATTGTAAAGTCCACATAATGTAAATGTTCTATACTAAAAGGTGGTTCTTAGTGAAGAACAAAGACAAAGTAGCTTAAAAAGATCTTCAGATGTAGTAATGTGCCTCTGTGATCTTTTCTATGGTTCTTTGTGGTTGTGAAAGCTGGACAATAAAAAAAAGAAAACATTGATGCATATGAACTTTGATGCTGGTGAAGACTTTGGAGAATACCTTGGATGGTAAAGAAAAGAAACAAGTTCCCTGACCAAATCAAGCTTCACCTCTCACTTAAAGCCCAGACTGAAGCTCTCTTATATTGGAAATGTATGTGAAGAATCAATTCATTGGAAAAGAGAGCTGGATACAGGCAAAGCAGCCATGAACAAGCCTTTAAGAAACCTAAAACAGAAGGCTGGACATTTTGGAGAAACACTATGCTCAAGGCCGCTGGGAGATGGAATCAACTTGAAGGCACTTAATAATAGTGAGCCTCAGTCACCAATATCTTCCTAAGGTTTTTTCTTAAATTTGTTCTTGAGAGAAATTCTAAGAAAAAGTCTACGTCAAATTCATGACATGTTCTTAAACCGCAGAACTGTTTGCATCTTTGTGCTCTTTGTGCTCTTCATACATTCTGTTCTAAAAAAACCTAAAAAAAAGAAGAAAACATTCAGAATCTTTGTGAAAACTGCGTAAGTGGGTTTTAAAAGAAATTTCTTCTTAAGAATCGTTGGTGAACGAGGCCCACTATTTTTCAGAGTGTACAGCTCATTAAGGCATTAATGCATTTATTACTCTTCAGCAAGCATTACATTTTCTCAGCTCTCTGTTCAACATTTCTTATCCTTTACTCATTCCAGTCTTACGGATTTTGTGGAATTATGTTTCATAGATAAACATAAATATATAATAAGACTGGCTTTTTCCCACCAAATGTCAGTGTTAGCATGACTGTTCTACGACTGTGTGACGTATTGATTGTCCAAATGTCAGGCTCTGGCTAAGCGTTTCTGCTCTCACTTGGTTGGTACAGAGAACATTACAAAATGTGTATTGACTAGTAAGGGCGAGCTGCAGGAGAAAAGCCTTCTTATACGCAGTTGTTTTTGTTTGCATTAAGATTTGTTGCAGAAAAAGAAAATGAGACGGCTGTATTTTGCTTTATTTCAATGCCTTTCTAGACAAGTATAAGCTCTTAACCTTTTTAAAAAGTTGCTTAAAATGTTTCCAAAGAGGGTTCTTTGGAGATGCCACACATTCTCACAATACCATGTATATGGTACCATAGTTCTTTGACTTGTAACAACAGTGGAGCACTTTTTGGTGCTATATGTACCAATTTTCTTAAGTTTCTTCAAGGAACCACATACAACAATAACTCATAATTAGTGAAGAACCATTTTACCATGCAATCATTTTTTTAAACTGTATTTTAATTTTATTTTTGAGCTGCCAGATTTTGATATGTAACCTTAGTAAAGGTGAAAGAACCCTAAAGAAACCCCTTTTTTTACACTTTTGGCTCCCTAAAGAACCTTTCAATTGAGTGGTGTTAAAAAAGTACTTTATACACCCTTAAAAATGGGGGTTCTTCATGGGTTCTATAATAAATATGACGGTTACAGAATGATGACAGCTCAAAGAACCATTTGAATGTTTCAATGGTTCTTTTTCTATCATGGGAATCACATATATGGTTCTTTAAAGAAATGGTTTAATATAGCACCAAAAGGGGTTCGACTATGGTTACAATTCAAAGAGACTTGTGATTTTAGCAATAAAAACACATCTGAGAATTTCTAGCAAGGTATTTAAAGTAAAGCCTTTGTGTTCTGTACAGTAAGCCTACATGTCTAACTCATAAAGGCATTCACTAAAGAGGAGACTATGCTTTTCTGCCTGCTTCCACAATGTCCTTACGAGAAACATTAGTGGAAGCGTCAGAAACGTACAACTCTCCTTTTTTGGGGGGAAGCCCGTCACATCCTCTGTCCATTTATGGCCAAGAAGACGACAAACGCAGCGGGGGAATCCTCTCAGTGGAGACGATGAATGGGGAGGAGGGACGATGGCTCAGCCCAAGTGTATAAAAGCGATTGGTGGTGAAGACTCTGAGCAACAGATAGCGGGAGAACATCGAGCAGCAGTAACACATCTGAGGAACCACAAAACCAACCAAAAAAGGGGGATTTCCACTCTGACTTTTGTTTCTCTTCTCTACTGGATCACAGCCTTTACGGAGCCGATTGACAGAGCAGAAGCACCTTCAACTTCCATCATTTTCTTTGGTCAACATTTGTGTTTTTCCCCCTTCACGCTCCTCCACTCCGCTCGGATTGATAGGCGCTGGCTAATCTTTTCCCGCAAACATGCTCAACAACATGGATTTGAACTCTCAAGACTCTTTCTACCCTCAGTTTGAGAGTTGTAACACCTCTGCCATGGCCATGGAAACTCACGGAGCCAAAGAAGAGCGGGACCTCGTCTTCATGGACGCAGCACACTTTCCACACGGTGAGGTTTTTTTTTTTTTGCTTGTTTGTCTTGTTTCTTTTTGCAACTCCTTTTTTTTAACGACTAAGTTTTCACTCTGATTTATCGCTATTTTGATGTGTACGTTCATTTTTGGGGGTCCACCCATTTCACCATAGTGCGCGTCTACGTAGCTGCTACTTATGTAACACCAACTGTAAAATTCAGCTGGATGTGTTGAAAGTGTGGCCTGATAGATAGATAGATAGATAGATAGATAGATAGATAGATAGATAGATAGATAGATGCTGCATTTAGATACAGTCATTAATGTCGAAGTTGGAAAAATTCAGGTGTAGTTTAGTGCAAATGTCTTTATAAAAAATTCTTAAAGCTGTGCAGGCAAAGCAACTACACCAGATAGATAGATAGATAGAGAGATAGATAGATATAGTTTTTAATATGGCTGTACATTCTGTCTATCTATCTATCTATCTATCTATCTATCTCTCTCTGTGGTGTGTGTATATATATATATATATATATATATATATATATATATATATATATATATATATATATATGAAAGTGCTTGTAAATGCATACATTAATATATATATATATATATATATATATATATATATATATATACACACACACATTTGATATATACATCATATCAAATGTTTATAAATATGTATTTTAATATTACACATACATATATACATGGTAAAGGTGTATACATGCAATCGTAATACTATATAGTGTATGTATACACTGTTATACAAGTCTGTTGTGTTCCTGTTCTTTATATGTTTCTCTCTGTTTCCCAGCAGACACCTCGGTGACTCCTAAAACCGAGCCCGTCTCGGCGGACCTCTACTCGCCGTGCTTGGGCCCCAGAGGGAGCTTCGACTCCTCGCTGTCCTACTCGGGCAGCTTCTACGTGGAGGCGTCGCGCGGAGCCTCGTGCAGCGCGGAGACTCTGCTCAGCATGATCAGCGAGATCGTCGGCGGCGTCTCCACGAGCCCGAGCGCGGACGCGCGGGGAAGCGCCAGCACGAGCGCCACCCCGCCTCCTCTCTACCCCCCGGTGGGGCAGCAGCAGCAGCAGCAGCAGGGCCAGGGCTACGCGGAGTCCGTCCCCCTGACCGAGGCCGCCGCGCTGCCCGTGCTGGTGGTGAAGCGCGAGCTGGAAAGCGAAGGGTACGAGTGGAGCGCGAGCGAGTACGAGAACAACAACAGCAGCAGCACCAGCAGCGCCAACAACGCCGGCAGCGCCAACAACAGCGGCTACTACTGCTACTTCCAGCCGGAGCCCTTCCAGCACGCGGACGTGAAGGACCTGCTGGACTCGTTCGGCCCCGTCAACCCGGACGGGGACTTCAAAGCGGCGGAGAGCGCCGTCAAGCACGAGCAGGACTTCGCGAGTGCGTGCGCGCACGCTTTCGGCGCGTATGGCGCCGACGAGGACAACAACAACAGCAGCAACAACAACAACAACAGCAGCAGCTACGTGACCTCCTCCTCTTCCTCTTCTTCCTCCTCTTCCTCCTCGTCTTTATCCTCCTCTTCCTCATCTTCTACCATCGACTCGCTCCTCTTCTCCTCTTTGCTGCCCGAGTCCTTTGCGCAAACGTACGCAGCGCGCCCGCAAAAGCCCGCACGTGTGCGCAAGAGCGGCGGCGGCGGCGGTGGTTCAGGTGCGCCTCCGCGCGCTAAGGAGAAGCCCTTCGCGTGCCCCATGAGCGGCTGCGAGCGGCGCTTCTCGCGCTCGGACGAGCTGAACCGGCACGTGCGCATCCACACGGGCCACCGGCCCTTCCGGTGCCGCGTGTGCGCGCGCAGCTTCAGCCGCAGCGACCACCTGACCACGCACACGCGCACGCACACCGGAGAGAAGCCCTTCTCCTGCGACGCGTGCGGCAAGCGGTTCGCGCGCAGCGACGAGAGGAAGCGGCACGCGCGCGTGCACCTCAAGCAGCGCGAGAAGGAGCTCGAGCGTCAGCAGGCGGCCGGAGCGGCGGCGGCGGCGGCAGCTGCGGCCGCGGCGGCAGGGGGATGGCCCTTTCCCAGCACGCGGGGGGGTCTCCTGAGTTAAACAACAAACAAACAAACGAAGGCACGAACAAACAAACGTAAAAAAAGGCCATCACGAGCTTTTGAGGCCCTAATGAGCTTTTGTATGAGAAAGAGAGAGAGAGAGAGAGAGAGAGAGAGAGAGATAAAGAGAGGGAGGCTGTGCAAGACGCTCCAGCTTGAAAGACTTTAAAGCTTTTCTGTAAAAATGATAAGAAATTCCAGTTGGGTTCCAGCTTTCTGTGCTTGGACCCCTAATTAAAAGCTATTTGATCACAGGTCACTCTCAGTTTGAGCATCAGAATAGAGGGAGAGGACGTTTGGTCCCCCACAAAGCAAAGCAGAGAACTTTAAATGGACCCCTCATCTGCTTCTTCCCTCATGCCGCTTGCTCTCTGTGCAGCAACCGCAGAAAAAAAACTGATCTTTTGAGGTTTTGTTTTGGTTTGTTTTGTATTTTCTTTTTTTTTTTCTGTTGTCCAGTTGTTCGGTTCTGACCTGCAGTTCAGCACCTCTTGCTGGACAGCTCCTCCGACCTCAACTCCTGAATGTATTGCACTTAATCTCCTCCAACTAAGAGTCTTTTATGAAATTTGTGCTTTTGGAGTCTTTTTTATATATCTCTATATCTATATTCCCATGTGGACCACCTGTTTGATAACCCTTTGAAAATGCATGTTTATGTTGATGTGTGATGTTATTGATTAATATCTGATGACGCCTCGCTGCAGAAGCGAGGCAAGTTTTACCTCGTCTGACATCATGGTGGTGGCAAACTATGCCTTGGCTACACCACGACTTGTGGTTCACTTGCGCCAAGGCCTTTTTTCTTTTTAAAGATATAATGTTATTTCTTTTGACGTGTTTATTTTTTATTCTTTTTTTTTGGTTGCTATGCTATTGAATGGTAATTGTGTTGTTTGACGAGGAATTTATTCTCTAATTGTCAGATTTACACCGTAAGTGGACAAAAAAATGATAATAAATATATTTATATGCCTATGATCATTTGTATTTTTCTAAACGTTTGCCTATATTTCCATGGTTGCTGATTTGGATATTGGAAAATGAACAAAAAGAAGTTTTATTTATGAACTCACAGTGTTTCCTATGTGTGATAAAAGAAGAGGCAGAGCTCAGTAAGAGATGGGATGGACGTAATGGAGTCCACATGTAAGGGTGAAAGGCTTGAGTATTTTTAATACGATGCCACTTGCCGTCTGACACGACCACGAAAGGTCAGACAACAGGCACTTGGACACAACGACTTGTCACTGTCGGACAGTTATCGCTTTCAACCCCACTACATGTGTGTATATAAATCAATGAATTATGAATCACGCGGCTCTTGTAGTTTGTAACGTGATGAGGCAGGACTAGAATAGCACAAGGCTAAACGTTGCTGTTGAGTAACTAGGTAGCACACATTGCTGCATTTCTTTCTTTTTTTTCCAGTAGTTCTTCTTCTACATGAAGGTACAACAATCTTACGACAGTTATATCACAATTGTATTGTACTGGGCAAATGGGTTTGTTGGAGAAATGGTGATTTGGGGGGGGGAGAGGGCTGTTCATGGGAAACTTGCCTTAAGTTATTTTTAATCTCTTCCTATGCTGGGAGAATGATTTTGTACATACCGAGACAGTTTATACAAAAATACTTTGGATGAACATTGATGTTTGTTATTTTTATGACTGATGTTTATGAATAAAACTATTTCCTGAGTCTTTTAAAGAGTAATCCCATTTACTTTGACAATGGAAGTTCACCAGTCCCTTTAAAATCACAGGCTTATTTCATTATAAGGCTTACTATTAAAGCATACACTACAAATCTACTAAGTTGTAGAAGTGTGTAACAATAATTGTGGGCCCACTAATTTCAGGGGTTCAAGTAAAGCATATTCAGACATGAAGTACAGTATGGCACAAACCACACCTTCAGACCACACTTCATTTATTGAATTTCCAGTTGAAACGACCATTAAAAACAGGTCAGTGTCAGGAGAAACATTCAAAATAAGACTCTTGCGGAGATGCTTTTGTAACTACTAGTTTAGACGACATTCTTTAATAAAAATGGTTCTTCAAGAGTTCTTTAGTAAAGACATTATTTCTATAGAACCATGAACACTCTAAGAACCATTTGCATGATTAAACTGTTCTTTGTATCGTGAAACGGTTCTCCAGAAATGTTGTACGCAGTTCTACATAGAAAGTTTTTCTATACACCAAAAAGGGTTCTTGTTATTGTTGCGATATGAAGCTTGTAACGATAGAACCCTTTAGAACACATTCACGATGGATCTGAAGAACGATTTAACCATGCAAAGAACCACTCCAGCATGCAAATGTTTCTTTAATGTTCATAGTTCTAAATAGAACCACTGCCTTTACTACAAAAACCTTAAAGGGTTCTTTAGTAAAGACAATAATATTTCTATAGAACCATGAACACTTTAAGAGCCATTTGCATGCTTGAATGATTTGTTTCATGGTGAAGCGGTTCTTCAGATGTGTTGTTTGCAGTTCTATTTGAAACAGTTTTGAAAAGGGTTCTCCACAACGCCAAAAATGGTTCTGCTATTGTTACGATGTGAAGCTTATAATAGGAGAACCCTTTAGAACACATTCACCATTGATCTGAGAAACCATTTCACCATAGAACCACTCAAGCATGCAAATGGTTCTTTGAGTGTTCATGGTTCTAAATAGAACCACTGTCTTTACTGAAGAACCCTTGAAAAAACATCTTTTTGAAGAGTGAACTGTCATTGGTGTCTCTCTAAATAGTCTCCAGCTAGTTCAGAACGCTCAGCCTGTGTGCTTACCAGGAAAAGACAGTTTGAGCAGATCACTCTGCTCTCATTCAGTTCACACTGACTTACTGTTGAATTTCATATTGACTACAAGGTCACATTTATGACATTTAAAGCCTTTAACGGCCCAGCACTGGAATTCTGTACTACTGAAGCGATGTAGTCCATCCAGACCACTTCACTCAGTGGATGGAGACTTACTGCAAACCACGGATCACTTACAGCTCAGCTGATTGGAGATCCTTTTCGTACAGTGCTTCGAAAAAAGTCAGAGACCACCCTGCTTTTATTTCACTTTCAGTCAAAACAGCCATTAACTAGGTATTATTGGTTTTTCAGCGTTAGACTAAAAAACAGAAAATCTTGTATTTAACAGAAAAGAAGCCTCAACAACTAAATAGAATAGGATTTTCCAGTATTTAATGTGTCCATCCTTTACTTTTATCACAGCTTCCATTCTTTTCAGGAGACTCACTTTCAGCTTTTCAAAGAAATCTGCTGGCATATTTTTTACACACCTCCAAAGTTCAGTCTTAGAAGTTAATTGCATTTTCTGCTTCTCACGATCCAAGTTTTGGGGTGGTCATCTATTGTTCTGACAACACCACCAGCTACTTTGTTTGATTTGCAGATCTTCATTTTGGTTTAGTTTTTTTTCTAAGTAAGGGCTTCTTGACAGCTACACATCCTTTCAGACTCATAGTGTTGAGTTGTCTTCTCACAGTGGAAGGATGGATAGGAACTCCTGTGGATTTTTTCAGATCTGAATCAAGAGTGGAGCTTGATTTTCTCCTCTCCCTCAAAGATGAAAGCTTTAAGTGCTGTTTATCTAAAGGCGACAGTGTCGGTGGTCAGTGTTGGTCAGCTCACCCAGTGGTTGTTAGGAGTCCCATTTTCTCTGACATCTCATAATCATTTTTTGAACTTCAGTTTTGGAAACACTACTTTTTTTACTCTACTTTAACTTTCTGTGTGCAAGTGGATCATCTTAATGGCCATTTTGACTTGGTCTCTGACTTCTGTACAGCCCTGTAAATGCCTGGCTTTGTTATCTTGATTGAATGTCAGAGGCTTCATATACAGGTATGAACTTGTAAACTTTGGAAAAAAGTAGCCATTTTTTCCCTTGTCCTTGACTAGTCTCACTATTAGAATCCTAATCATGATCATTAGGACCCAGTGTAGCTGAGTGAGAAAAGATTGTGCTGCAGGAATACGCGAAAGGTCAGATTCGAATGCCGCTTGGGGCACCAGAGTATGCCGGAGGGCTGCAGGTTGTAATGAGTCTTTTTTTCTTATGGGTGTGTGTGTGACCTCCGCGTTGTCAAAGGCTTGAAGTGAAAATTGAATCTATTGCAGATCCCCTTTGAGACGCAAGCTGCACATTCAGTCGTCTTCCAGGTGAATTGCAGTTTTACTTGTGTCCTTTTTTGGTATTTATCTTCAGAGATCTGACTCGGTAGTCTGGTTTTGGATGGGCCCACTTTTACAACTCTATAGTTATCAACTGAACATTCTACCTGTTACCTGAGAATCCTCAATGCTGTCAGAACAGAAAATAGCAATAGTGGTCTGAGTCTCTAAGAGACATGCTTGAGTTTAAGTGTCTCCATAGTTAAATTATTAAGACGTCAAAGTGGTTTGATGTGAAATGCTCAGAACTGTTCACAGTGGTGGTGATAGGAACCAGACATCTCAAACGTTTATTGCCAAAGTTATTACGTGGAATGGTTATGAATATGTTTCCAAATGCTTGAAACATTGTTTTACAACAGTTTCGTTATTTTTAAAATCCATTTACGGTGAAGTAGTACGTGCAGGGTGTTGTAAAGCAAAATAGTCTCCAAAAACTTTCTTTCAGGTTTACCACTATTTTACCAGTATCAATCTTACAAATTACTCAAAATATGCAGAATTAAACTCATAATGTGTGGATCGGCTGGACATTTTGGATAGTACATGAAATGTCTATGTTTGTGTTGTAGACGTTGTGACCCCTGGTTCCTATCACCACCACTGTAGAGAAGTAAGTTTCTTTAGAATGGAGTATTTCACAGCAAAGCTCTCTGAATAACTGTGTTCACATCCCAGCAATTGAATTATGCAGCAATTATGAAAAATTGTTGGAGTTCTCCTATAAAAAGGTCCTTCACACTAATTTACAAAAACGATTTTTTAAAGAACCATCAACTGAAAACAAAAAGTAGTCCTTCTATGGCCTCTCAGCATGGCCTTTGACAGCTAGTGCTAGCTAACTCCCTATTATTAACTTCATTTTGAAAAAAAAATCAGATGAGAATGTGTCTGGTTACTTTTAGACATGTATAGCACTGCACAAAAGTCAGAGACCACCCTTCATTCATTTAATCTACAGTCAAAAAAGCCATAAAGTACAAGTTATCCATTTTCAGTGAATATTTCTAGATAATCCACTTGCATAAGGAAACAACGGGACTCCTAAAAACTGGTAGGCCTGATAGAAAAAAACAAGCTCTCTTGCTTCAGATCTGAAACAACCCAGAGGTGTTTTTATTCATCCTTCCACGGTGAGAAAATAACTCAGCACTATGAGTCTGAAAGGAGTTGTAGCTGTTAAGAAGCCCTTATTGAGAAAAGAAAATAGACTAAAAAATGAAAAT